GTGAAATTTTGAGGAAGAACCTCCCAAATAGCTTTGACAAGACTTATTTTTGGACAGATTCTATGATTGTTTTGTACTATATTAGAAATACAGAGAGTCGGTATAGTACGTTTGTGGCCAACCGTCTAGCCATTATTCACCAGTATTCATCCCCAAATCAGTGGGGGTACGTTAAATCTGAAGAGAATCCCGCAGATTGGACATCAAGAGGCATACGAAAAGCGTGTGAATTAGCGTCTTGGATTCAGGGCCCCTCTTTTCTGGGAACCCGACAGTTTTCAAGTACCACAGACCTCTGCTGGAAGGAACCACCGAAAAATGTCGAATTGAAGAGGTCGGTCCGAACAAACACAAACGTTACTGAGCTCACTGCTGATCCGATTTTGGCGTATCATTCGGACTGGGTGAGGCTGATTAAAGCTGTGGCATGGCTTAAGAGATATGTGGTCTACATATCCGTTATGTATTCGCGTCGCCAAGGTGTGTCACTGAATGTTGGCTATCTAACAGCCGATGAACTGGAAGCTGCTAGACATAAAGTATTATGTATGGTACAACAGGAGGTATATGGAGAATTAATAAAGGAACTCCGAGAAAAGGGTAGTTGTGAGACTGAAGAAGGTGAATTGCAAAGGTTGTCACCTATACTTGTGGATGGATTGGTCTGCGTCGGTGGGAGGTTGAACTATTCCGACTACCCACTTACTTTTAAGCATCCGGTTATCCTCCCCAGACATCACTTCGTGACTGAGCTGATCATAAGGCATTATCATATTATAGAAGGACATACTGGTACTTCGCAAGTCCTGGCCACTCTACGAAGAAACTATTGGATAATTAAGGGGATCAGTGCGGTCAAACGGGTGATAAGAAAGTGCATAGAGTGCCGACGATTGAAAGCTGCACTGGGTCAGCAGATGATGGCCCCTTTACCGGTCTGTCGCGTGCAGAAAGGATGGTTTTGCTTCTCATCAGTGGGAATTGATTATTTTGGACCACTCATGGTTCGCCAGGGAAGGAGAGAGGAAAAGAGGTACGGGTGTGTGTTTACTTGTCTCCAGACGCGAGCCATACATTTAGAGGTAGCTTTCAACCTAGGCACCGACGCCTTTATAATGGCTGTAATGAGGTTCATAGGAAGAAGAGGAACACCTGCAGAGATATACAGTGATAATGGTTCCAACTTTGTTGGAGCGATTTCGGAACTAAGACAACTGGTGAGTGTGTGGGATAGACGACGAATCAATGATGCCATGGTGTCAAAGGGGATACGATGGAGTTTCAACCCCCCGCAAGCGAGTCATCGAGGTGGGATATGGGAAAGGATGATACGTTCTGTACGCAGGTTATTGATGGTCATATCCAAAGAGCAGACTCTGCATGATGATACATTAGCCACCTACTTCGTGGAAATAGAAAGAATTTTGAACAATCGTCCTATTGTTCCCATGACGACCGACCCAAAAGACGAGTTAGCTCTCACTCCCAATAGCTTATTGTTATTGAGAGATAGTGGAGGAATAGTCGTGGAGGGCACTATTGCCGATAATTACGTCAGACGTTGGAAACAAGTTAATTACTTAGCTGACGTATTTTGGCGCCGATGGATGAAAGAGTATCTACCATGCTTGCAAACTCGTCAGAAGTGGTTGGGAAGGAAAAGAAATTTCAAGGAGGGAGATGTGGTGATTGTGGCCTCTGAAAAAACACCACGTGGTTCCTGGCCTTTGGGAGTGATCGAAACATGCGAGAAGGACGAAGACGATTTAGTAAGAACTGTGATGGTGCGTATGAAGGAAGGTACCGTGAGAAGAGATATAAGAAAGCTTTGTCTTCTTGAGGGAGTAGAAGAAAGATAGAGTATGCAGACAGCTAGGTAGATAGAGCCACGGCTGAATACACAGAGGTGTTTTGCGTGTCTGGAGGGATTTTGGTGGCCGGTGTAAAGGAAAAATGATCTGAAAATCCCTCCCGATCACCCTTATTTGATTGTATTGACATTTATTTTAACATTTTTACCCTCGTTATGGATGGTGTACCTTTGACCCTCGCCGGTGTAATGTTATTTGCTTGTTTAACTGTCTTATTTGACTTTACACTCGGTATTTGCCTTTGTATGTTTGAGACTTATTATGAGTGTTTCACTTTCCTATTATGTGACGCTGGACTGTTGATAAGGTGATGTTGTTTTACTGCGCACGACATTTTGTTTTGGTTCAACTTACGGTTGTGCAGTGATTTGACTGTTTGTCTTTTGACTGTCTACTGGGAACGTTTGTTTGTTGATTTGATTCCTGTAGGCAGAGTTTTGATCCCTTTTGCCGGGAATATTCCTATTGACCGACAGGTATTTAACAGTTGTATTTTTTAACCAGTTTTTACCGTGTAGTACGTATTTGTACCCGAGAACGTTTTGGACTGTATAGTTACCCAACGGCACTGTTGAGGTATTTTTGTAATTTGACATAACTTATTGTTGCTTTGATAGTACCACAGATTTTGTTACGAATCTACTATTGAATTACTACAAACCGTGTTTTGATATTTCGATCCAACCTTTGACTGTGCGTCACTCGCGGAAGTTAGGAAGCTATACAGTAGAACGCAGGAACTAGTCAGATTCACGTCAGTTGGCACCGCCTAGCTATTTCCCGCGTTCAGGCCAAGATTATTGGATTCTGGCCGCTACAGACGGTGGCTAGCTGCTCGAATATCCAAGAATTAGCCTGGGATTGAATCGGGACACTCGGTATTTTTTGCCTATAGCTTTGAATCATAAAGATCATGCCAGTACAAGTGGCATTCATGTGATGCTCTACGATCAGTGGGTGCACCAAGTGGTTCTCACCACTCCCGCTTCAATTTTCCAAACTGAGCTGGCAAGTGGCTAAGTATCCAGAGACGCACCTTTCTGTTTATAGGCCCCATTCAGCTTGCTCCACAGAACCGGTTATCTTGAAGTGTGCAAGGTGCGGAGCTTCATTCCCTTATTTTTGGTTTGGGCATCTGCCGGCTACTGAACGATAGGCCAAGATGACATGAATAAAATGTTCTACTTTTGCTGCTCTGCATAAGCATTGCGATGGGATGCAGCTTCAAACGTCTAACCTGAATTGTAGTCGCAGAAACAATGGCTACCTCAATGTCAGTAACTCACAGTATTTTATATTACATTATGCGCTTTTCATGATATTTATTCTCACCCGGAATACCAAAAATACATAGCAGCCCTCTTTCCACACAAATCAATCCCATTCTAAACGCTAGGTATTTATTGTATTGCGCTAACACATCACCTAGACCAACGGCGGCATGCTAATCGATTCGCCCCAAGGTATTAGGAGAGGAGAGCGATTTTCGTACTGCTTACGGGATTGCAGCAACAAAGTGCGACTAGAGCAGAAATGAATGGAGTAAATTGAATCAAATATTAAGTAAGTAAACTTCCACTCGGCTTCTGGAGGATTATGGCGTTTTAAGTCTTGCCCTAACGAGTACGCAGGCTTCGACTGTAGTTTTGAGCCTCATGTGACCTGGTCAACACTTTATTCTAAGGGTCCCAAGCACAGCCGTAATACCCGAATAAGTTGGGGCATTTTTCACAAAAATCACCTCCATCTTCATCCTACTTAAATGTGTTGCTCTTTCGGATATATTCTTAAATAACTGTGTCCTTGATTTGCGTTTCATTACCGGCACGTACACTTTGGGTAAGGTACTGACTAAGTAGACACTAGAGCACATCGAGTTTAGTGGGCTAGTTAAGCGTTACAAAATAGTGATATACCTGATCTTCTGCAGGGTCATCTATCAGGCTATTCACTGAAACAAGCCGCTCCTACCGGCAAAACTGCTATAATTAGGAGAAACCATACCGTCATAGCATATAAGATAGACAACACCAAGCTTTCGCAGTAGTTTGCGTAGGAGTATACGTACCACGGGATGCTGTACCACAACTCTCCAGTAGTGGAATCATTCACAAAAGAACTTCACACGGTTGACTGGACCCACATAAATTATTTGCAGCGTTGACAGGGTGCTTTCTTCTTCAAGGTATACTACCTTACCGCACACTGCTTCCCAACTCACCAACATCAACGCCATAGTCACCCCTCAGTTCCTCACTACCGTATTCCCCAATACAGTCGCTTGCCATCGGTTAGTTCTGAATAAACTTCAAAATATTCTAACTTCCCTGCGCTAGTTAAGCTCGCTCCGTTCACTTTTGTTCTTTGAAACGTCCTACATACCCAGTTACTTCAACTTCTATATTTCTGCTTCATGTACGAGAGCAAATGGTAGTCACAAGATCCTTAGTTTTCCTAATAGTTCTAAGTTTCTTAATAAACTCAGCGCATAAGTTGTGATTGCAGTCGAGCAGAAAGCTCTTATCTAACCGCAGCTACAAACTCCGAAGTAGAGATGGTTTCTAGGACCACCACAAGAAGAGGCAAGTATCTGGAACTAGACAATCGGGTTGAGAACTGCAGGTTTTCGTATACCAGTTTCGCAGCTGCCTTGACATAAACTGCGTGAGCTTACAGGCAGTTCAATAGCTGTCAATATTTACACTACATACATGAGTGTGATATCAAGGGAGAATACGGAGGAGTAACCTCGTAGGAATGTCACATTTGGCAGACCGTGCCAAAATATTGACGAGCATCGAACATCTTGTCGGAGGTTCTTACACCAGCAACGTAACGTGGCACGACAGCGTGAACACTTTGTTGGGCAACCCCGGGTTATTCAGTTCAATAAAGCTAATATGTTCAGCTCAACGCCAGAGTCTCGATGAACCCAGGTAACCGATTTCGGTAAGTTATTTTCCGCTACACTCACACTATTGCTATTTGACGTTAGACATCCATAGAACACTGAGCTGTTCTTATATTGCATATATGAAGCTCTGGCGATGCAGTTAGAATGTCTATCGGCCGAATTTGACATGCAAATTACCTAAGGAAACTTTCAACTCAGACTCACGTTTTCGAGAGCAGAAAAGTAGTTAGCATATTCAGACTTACTGAGGCAATTGGAGTAAACTGTATCGATTGCTGGGAAATTGTAAGAGGGAGTGCTTCAAAAATCATACGCCTCCAAAATTTGCACAAATTACGTCGTACATTGAAATTGTTTCTTTTGGAGGTGGAAGAAACAAATCGGACGTTGCTGCGACCTTCACATCTGATCAGTGGTATTGTTTACTAATATTTAGGTGTTTCATTCATCAGAATGTGGTAATTTTTCTGAAAAGTTCAATTATTTGCCATGTTTACTTGGTGGTACAAACTGCAAATGTAGAACGATGACGAGAGTAGTAAGTAATAAATGATGTGTAATAAAGTCGATTTATATTAAGATACGTATATTGCATTTCTGGTCTGCTTAAAACTAAGGATGATAAATTTATGTGTGGTAGTACTGTCGTTGACTTCTATCATCTCTGTCCAATACATTTCTCTGCAACCTTGTATATAAGGTTGACTCAAGGATACAAGGACGACGCTGTAAGGTCGTCCGGTCAGTGAAGCATCCACTTAACTATACCACCTGCCTATGGGTACTATAGAGTATCAGGTAGCTCGATTATCGCTCAAAGTTAACTTTGGGTCTACTGACTGGCCCACCGTCATTTCTGTACGGAACTGACAGTGGGCCAGTAACAGCAGATCCAGTAACACATGTTATTGGATCTACCCAATACTGTCACTATATTTGCCAATTTGGCACAGAATGGTTGTCCGAAATATATTTTACGTTGGTCATAAATATCCGAATCACTCCTTCTGTATGTCGCTTCTCACCTAAGCTACAATTGACTGCTAAACAGACTCAACATAGGATCAGTCTGCCATACCTGCTCAAACAGTGTAGTCAGTTCCCAGACTAGAGTCGTTCCCTCGTATTTAGAAAGAGCCAGGGATGAGTTGTCTGGGCCAGGTACATCGTGGCGTTTCAGGAATTGAGTTTTTTATAGACCTCCGCTTCTTTAGATGGGTCAGTGTTAACTGACCATGAAGCACGATACACGGAAACTGAAGGTGTTGGAGCAATAGGCCAGTTAAAACGTCCTCGAGGTGCTCCACTTAGCGTTCTGGGCATCTCTGAAAGATTGTTTATCGGAGTACAATCTACCTCACTGACGCCAGGCTGGAACGGCTTCCGACTTTTGCCCGGTGCAGCTGTTACTTCCACATCACCCGCACGTTCCGATCACCAAGCCTCACGGTCCTTGGGTAGGCGTTGTGTAATCTTTTGTGTAAGAGAATTACGCAAACTACTGTATACGCCATCCACTGTAGTGGTCTGACGAGCTTCAAGAAGTTACAAGGATCTCGCAGAGACCCAATATTTATTGACGAAACGTTCTTCCACGCCATAAGCGGCTTTTCTCACCATTTTTTTTGGTGTCATGATGATGATGGTAGTTAACCTTAAATCTATTTTCGATTGGTATTTAGCTGCAGTGTTAGGTTCAACTAGTTTGCTTGCATCTACCTGTTTAGGACGACGATTTTGATAGCCACTAAAACGTGAGACTAGCTTAGCATACATTAAAGCATGATCAGAACCCACTCAAGTACTGGGTATGGAATGGCAGTCCTGCATGCACGTATACAACCGGTAGCTGATTGCAATATGGTCCAGAGTTTAGTGGTCGAGGGAGGATGGCAATTAGCGCGATGGCGATGGCTGTACCGGAAGTTGGCGCTGACTAAAAATAGGTTGTGATCTGTGCAAAGCTACAGACGATCCTCATTATCTTATCTGAGGTCAACTAATCCTCATTGACCACTTAGACGACTTTCCTTTGAGTACAGACGCCTGACCTTCACATTCAAGTTCCCAGCTGGTACTACGATGTCTGTCGAACGAGAAGTTAACTCAGTTGATGATAGAGTCCACCCTTGGTTGCATCTAGGCTGCAGTTTGTCGGATCATAAGCAGAGAGAATGAAAAGACGTATTTTTCTTGCCGGTTACTTCTTACTCGAGATAGACCTTCTAACCTAATAGCACACAGACGTCTGCTGATGGGGATCCAGTCGAGTAGTACGGCCTCCGCTCAAGTGCTTAGTTCGACACCGACTTCAGCTAAACGGTTGCCGATACCATAGGGTCCCCGGATAACCGCACATGAAACAGACTTTTGAGCTCATCTGGAGAACTAATCCTATGCATATCACTGGGATCTTGTATGTGGGTATATGAGATACAGCATGCATCAATACCGATGCTTTACAGAGTCCTAGTAAAACCTGCCCATTGTCCGATCTGCATCAAGGCGCAAACGTTGAAGGTGGGAAGCTTAAACAGTACACTTGGTTTCAGGATAACTATGTCACATATCGCACTGGAGGACAGCTTTATGGGGGCAACTAAGCGACTCAAAACGGTACAGACAGATCCGAAGTCTAAGCAATGTAAAGCAGCTGACATTTCAGTTACCTCACATCCAACCTGAACCTGGAATGGACGTGAATGTTGGTCCTACGTCTCTTTTTGAAGTTGAGAAAGCTGTATAGGACCTGAAACGATGCAAAGCAGCAGGATCTGACAGTTTACCGGCTGAGGTTTTCAAGGATGGAGGTAGGAAATTGCTGATTAGAGTGATAGATGTACTAGGTAGTATATGGGAATCAGAGGTAGTGCTTTCAGACTGGTCTGCTTCACTGATCAGCTAGGTCTATAGGAAGGGGGATAAATCTTGTGAAAACCATGGGCGAATTGGTGTGACTAATATTGTACCCAAGATCCTAGGCTCAGTAGTTATCCAGTGCCTAACTGGATCTCGAGATCAGGCAGATTTCAGACCTGGACGAGGGTGTATCGATCAAATTTTCACCATCCGATAGGTCCTAGAATACAGGCATACCTACCGGCGGCCGACACTTGCCATATTTTTTGACGTGAAGGCGGCGTTTGACTCAGTTGACCGTGAGGTGTTATGGCAGTGCCTAACTGTGAAGAGAGTACCGGGTAAGTATATGATGCTTATCGAAGCTCTCTATTCGGACTCACGCAGCCGTGTTAGGACTTATGCAGAGTTGTCATGTGAGTTAACAACAACTAGTGGTGTCTGGCAGGGATGTTCTGTTCTACTGTATAACTGTGAAACGTGGCCATTGAAGGTGGAAGACATGAGAAGACTTCAGGTGTTTGACCACCGTTGCCTTCCTAGAATAGGCCGTATTCCGTGGTGTCACCACGTGAGTAACGCAGACGTCAGGTGTAGAGTTTTAGGGAGTAGATGTAAATCAGTCAACGAGTTTATGAACCTTCATCGACTGAGATGGTTGGGACACGTATCACGTATGCCTGGTCGCTAATTGCCTTGTCACACAATGTTGGCTGAAGTAGGTCCAGTCTGGAAAAGGCCCTCGGTGGCCAGACTAAAACATAGCATCAATGTATGAAGTGTTTGACTGTTGGTTTGAGCCATGTGAGGCGATGCGGACTGGCCGTTTGGGGTTCGAGGGACAAGAAAAACCAGTAGTTGGAGACTGACTCTAGGTGATATGGCTCAGAACCAATGTCAGTAGCGCAGATGTATACACACATTATCCTCGTCTTGACGCTATACTGAACCTCACCATTTTCTCATTCTACCTTTCTTCCTTTTAGCACTTTATATTTCTTTTGACTGAATTTTCTTATCTTCATCTTGCACTTAACTGCCTTTTTACTTGATGTACTGATATGAGGTGTGGCAACTCGGACCGTTACGCATTAATGCCTGGTCCTGTGTTGATGATGATGGCAGGGGTATCTACTGTCACCGTTCCTATTTAACTTCGTCATAGACATATTAATGAACATAACATTAGATACGTCTGACTTCACAGGGATTGACTTACTCCTTGGAGGTCATCTAGTTGACTTGGAATATGCAGAGGATACTGTCCTACTAGGTGAAGACGCTGACAAAATGCAGGGTTTTCTGAACGTCTTCAGCAGAATTTCGCGTATATTTGGCTTGCATTTCTCACCTGTCAAGTGTAAGATGATACTCCAGGACTGGTGTGCAACGACTCTCAGCTTAATGATAAGGAGTGACGTGGTGGGATGTGTTGACCACCACTTATTTGGGGAGTTACATCACCTTGAACGGGCTGGTTGCTGACAAAATCTCAGCTGGGATACAGAAGGTTCGTCTGGAATGTACCAACTTACGTCACCTTTGGCGTCGGCGAGATCCGGCTATCTATCAAATGGTGAGTATTCTGCTCTTCAGTCTGTTCTGTCCTGTTGTACGCTGTGAGGCATGTCCGTTAAAAGTGGGAGGCATGTAAGAGTTACAGTTTTTCGACCATAGATGTCTTCGTAGCACTGCTCACGTTTGGTGGAATCATCGTGTGAGGAACATCAAGGTCAGGCAAAAGGTACTGGATAAGACAGGCAGGTCGATTAACGAGGTTGTAAACATCAGTCGTCTGAGATGGCTTGGACATGTATTGCACCTGTCGAGCGTCCACCTACCTCGATGTGTCATGCTAGGGAAAATTTGGATTTAGATGGGAAAGGGTTCAGTGTGACCAGACCGAGACCTGTCACCAGCCGATGAAGTCCCTGACTGTTGGCTTGAACCATGTGGGGAGATGTGGACTGCCTGTTTGGGATTCCCGAGACAAAACGAATTAGTGATTGAGAACACTTGGTGACATGGCTAAAAATCGGTCACAATGAAGCAGATGTATTCACTCCTTGACATCTGAAGCTTGGATATTTGCACCAACCTTCATCCTCAAGTTATTTATTCTCTCACACTACTTAGTCTACTGTGATATCACTCCTTTTCTATCCACCTGTTCTCTGTACACTACTTTGAAGTGTGGCAACTTGAGCCTATTCACATGTGTACGAGGTTCTACGTTGATTTTGTCAGTCATTGTTGTTTGTTAATTTGTAGGCGTTATGCAGTTTCCCACATGATATGATGACAGTTGTTTTCACTACCCTTCGTCTAACCAGTTTGATGATTGATATATCTTATTTGTTATGAAAATGCATCATATTCTCTACACCTTTTGTTTTCACTTTTCCATAACTGTGATCAAAATAAGTTGTGTTCAGTATCAATCTGAATGAAAAGAAAATTCATATTGGCTTCAGTTTGAACCCGCTTTTGGAAATTCATTCCAGGTAGGTTCGTACAATAATATTTTTTACTACTTGACCAGGGAATTGGTGCATAATAATCATGCCTATAGTGTAGTTGTGGTTGAGCTGTTTAAACAGTGGGTTGAGTTGGAATCTTTTTATACCTACTGAGGTTTCAGAAACTAAGTAGAATTGTTAGTTTTCAAATAGATGTCCAATGCCTGATGTATGCACGTGTGTATTGTTACTGGGTTACACTTCTTTGTTCAGGCTGATGAATAGACTTCATTAACCTTTTCATTTGTCTAGCTCATCTAGGGTATACCTAGGTAGATGTCACTAGCAAGTGAATCGAATGCTTCAATACTATATTTTGTTATTCAGTGATGTATTTCGTCAAAAACTGCAGTTGGAGTCTTGGTCAGGTGGCTTGCAATAGAAACCTTACTGATTCCACAACCGAGTAAATAGTACATAGTTTGTGAATTGGTCATCTTTTGTGTCTTACAATAGAATTATGATGATGATCTTATCAAAAACACTTGTCCATGTTTATAAATATTCACAAACTCAGACGAAAATGGTAAAAGAACGTTTTTGTTATGCTTTCATAGTTTCAGGATATTGAAAAGATCAATGACCTAAACTTTTTCATTCTTGTTTCAACTTTCAGTTCCTTCCATGAAAAAAGTTGCATTAGTAACAGTTTCAGGTCTCCCTGGGAGTGGAAAGAGTACTTTATGTGAACGTTTGTGCCGGTTGAGAACCAATGACTGTTTCATTGTTTGGATAGAGTACGATCGACTTATTCCAATACAAATATTCTCTGAGAGCTGTGATGTATGCAATTTAATTGACTATAATTTGCATTAGAATAATGAATGGAAAAACTGGCGTCAAGCTATTCTTGGTTGCTCAGAGAAACTGTTAGCTTCTTGGAAAAGTATTGATTTTGTCCGAGTTTTGAATGAAGATGAAAAAGCTATTTGGTTGAATATGAGTACATATTGCTCTTTGAATACGCAGAACATCATAGTCTTACTGGACGATAACTTTTACTACTCCAGTATGCGTCGTCCATTTTATAGTCTAGCGAAGAAGTGTAATTTGAAGTTTTCTAATACCCTCAGATTCATGTAGTTATGTATCATTGGTTTGCAGTTGTGAGGTGGATGTCTGTATTCTTAGGAATCGTAGCAGGTCAAGTCCTGTTCGTGAAGATATCATTCAAAAGATGGCGGAGAAGTTTGAATGGCCTGATCCAGTTAACAATTCATGGGAAAAACATAGATTTCTGGTCAACTCATGCACTGATGATACGTATGTGTTTCATTTTATTTCATTGGTTTCTTTTGACAGGAATTATCCAGCTAGTTTACTGAATTCCTTGAAATTAGCACTGAATTACCCGGTTATTAATGACGATTTTATGAAGGATGAAGAGAGGCATAAAAACAGAATTATAAACCTTGAAAATTTACATCATAATGCTGACAATCACCTGAGAAAAGTTGCGAATCAAATGATCAAATCGAACGGTAATTTTTTTTATTTCAACATTACCTGTTTAAGATTCCTCACGTAGAGCTGTGTTTGCGAAGATGATATTGGATGTTAAGGCGGAAACGCTGCAAGTACTTCATGAAGTCCTATCGAAGGGAAATCCTACCTGGACGGTTGAAAGTTTTCAACAATTTGCGGAAAGCTTGTTTCAGGAAAAGCTTTCTGAAGCTTTTAATAATGGAATACAAGCCGATTAAAAATGAATTTTGTTTTCCCAATTCGATGTCATGGAACAATAAACGTGTAAAATTTAAACGTATTTAAAATGCCCGTCATTTGGATCTACTTTTGTCGCAGTTATTTAACGGGTCCATTAAGACAACCATCTGCCTCTGTATGGGTCCTTAAACCGTATCACAACCCATGTACAGTTTAGGAATCAACAGTTACAATAAGGACCAGAAAGCTGTCCTTCAGTGCGATATCTGAAACAATCTCTGGGTTGGTTTAAGCTAGACACTTCCAACTTTCGAACCTAGGTGCAGACATGTTTACCTGGGACTCGGAAGCCCCTCAGATGATGTATGCTGTATCTCAAAGACCTACATACAAGGTCCCAATAAAGTGCTTCGAATAACTTCCCTATTTGTTAACTCAAAAATGTATTTACGTCTCTGAGTGAGAGCGTAATCCCACCTCTCTTCATTGTTTCAAACCAGTAGGCTTGTCCGATACCGCTATTCCTGTTAGAGTTTGTTATGGATGACATTTTCGGGACAACCTTGACGGAAGTGCGTGCCGGTGGTTGGGTAGACCTGTTACCATGTGGAGAACTTTTGAATCCAAGTAGGCGAACGATATCGGTTTACCGTGCGATTGTACGGGCCAGTCGAATCTCACTCAACCAGTTAACGACCAATGTCCGTAAGTATGGTATGTGCTTCGTGCTGTCAAAGTGCTCTTATGAGATTGGTAGTAACCTATGTTCACATACCTTTAGTGGTTAACAGTTGGAAATTATCGAAGAGTTTTCGTAGTTTTGTGAGTGCTGGTTAAGGTGTAACTTATATTAAGATATGTAAAATGCATCAAGAGAAATTTGAGACTTAATAACAAGTGGCTATGGTTAAATCTTTTTAACTTAGAATGAAGTGTAGGGACCAATTCCTGACCTATGCTATGAAAATTTTCTCCGAGGTATCTGTTTCCATTTAGTCTGAGACAATTTATAAAAGTGAAAAGGTTTGGAGGTATCTGTAGTTCTCAAGGGTTCTTACTGGCATCTTTGGATTACCACTAGTTGATTGACTAAGCCGCCTAAGTTATCTTAGCTTCACTAGAATTTATATTCCTTCCGCCCTTCGTTATGCGGCAATATCTAGGCTGTTAGTTTGGGGTTTTGTGTACCGAACTAAAAACCAAACTAGATCTCGTTTTTCAATCCCGCTTTAGTCGTTGACCTGTTGTATGCAACCGTGATGTAAAGTGAAAATGCAAAACTACTCATGATCTAAGTTAGCTCCTCAGCCTCTTCATCTTACCTCCAGTCAAAATACATTTTTTTATGCATGGGAGATAAATTTGTTAATTATACAGTTCGTGGTAGTATGGTCTGTTTATACCACTGAAGTTCGCTAACATATTTTACTATGTTGACTGTCCTTCTGCAATCAGTAATTATCAGTCTGTAACCTGGCAGTGTCACATAATGCCCCTTTTTGTTGCACCTCATATCAATACGTCAAGCTACAAAGTAACAGGATAAAAAGTCGGGAAATAGGTGTAAATGGTAATCAAAAGTTGTGGAAGTTCCTTCAAAGTGATGAAGAGAGTGTAAAACAAACAAGGAAATGTGATACGTCTATTAAGTTGAAGAAAGTGTGTGAACGCATCTGCACAACTGAAATTATATCGAAGCCATACCACCGCAAGTTTCCAAGAGTCGATTTCGGATATCATACAAACTCCAAGCTAGATGTCTTGGTTTCCCTATACTGCTTATACCAACAACGAGAGACTTTATGAACTGATGCTACTCTCTCTCCCTCTCTGAAGTTATCCATGATGCAAATTAAATAATAAGTCGAAGAATAAACACCTCATACGGGAGTTTCTTACTTACTTTGTAGAAGCTGCACTACTTTCACTGAAAAGTTTCGGACATTATCACCCTTTTAACTCGAGTTGTTGCGGAGTATAGATATTGTGCGTAAATATTATGAGCTGGGAAAAGCACATGAAGAAATACTTAGTTTAAATCTAATAAGTTGAGATTTACTTGGGTTTAATGTTAAATCGAAACATGTTATAACTTACCAACTAAAGACATTTTACCACACTTAAGCGCTATTAAACACAATACGACTTTGGAATTTCCATCATAGTAGTTTACTGAGTATGTGGAGTATCCAACGGTTTGGTCAGTGAGAAGAATTACAAGTTTCTCAAGAATAAAAGTGAATGCGGTCATTTTTCATCTATTAAAATCAATTTATTTGCTTACTAATCTGCAGTTGGAAATATGTCTGGTCTGTCTCATTCGTCTAATTAGACTAAACGTCAATGGAATGCATATAGTCCTTCTTCTGATATTTCAACTTGAATAATAAGTTGAGATGTGAGTAATTTACTTATCGTTATACAGTTTTATTTTGAGGTTCAGCTGTAGTTTCTAATGAATAAGGTGCTGTACAGTTTATTGTCGTAATGGTCACTAGTTTGATTTAGGAAATTGTTTATTGATTCATGCAATTTCCCACTGTTGTACTGGATTGAGTTGGTCGACCTTGGTTAGCAAATGAACTCCAATGAGGGCGAAACACGCGTCTTGGGTCCCACTGCTAAACACCACCAAGTGAATTACAACTTATATTAAGACAGTAGTTCTCTCGCAACTTTACTGATAAAAATGCCACTGTTCACACCTGTCTATGTCTCTACTACGGAAATAGTACGCTAACTGATTCAGTAAAGATGCAGTTAGAATTCTGAAGATAACCTGATTACTAACCTGGCCAATCACAACTGACAACATGAAAATAGAGGACATTTAGCGAATTCATTAGCTGATGATGAAATGGGAATAATAATGAAAAAGATATGACTGTTCATAGTTTTACCGATAGTGACCGTGGATTAAAATAAATCAAAATATTGGAAAATTGACCTTCTGGTAATTAATTTTGCTTTTCGGTACAGTTGTTCGTTGATTTTAATAGGAGTTAACGATGCACTACAATAATCACTCCGCCTGAACGAAAGAAACGCATTCAGCCACGTGCACATATGTGCAGTAGGTAATGAACCACATCTGTTTGGTGGGGGATAGTGTTACTGCCTGGCTGTCCAAGCCTCGGTTAGTGAAACAGGGCTCGAACTCGTGACCCAGTGGTTGATAGTCGTTTCCTTAAACCCCTGTACTATATATAGGTCCACTGTCACTCCACACCCTTCCTGTTGATTCACCCTGCGAAATACAGGTCATTAAAATGTGGGCAGTTCATATGATTTAAATGGTTTATAACCCTTTCGTTAGTTTAAATTAGCAATGGAGGTTTTGTTAAACGCTTTCATGATAAGAATTGTTTTGTCTAGAAGTACTATATTCAATAAACAAATCCTAATATAGAAGGACTTAGTCACTTCTAATCCAACCAGGTAGTGTTGCCGTAAGAGAATTAATATTGCATTCTAATGGATGGAGTTTCTGAGTTATTTTATCTGCATATGTGTAAAGAACTGATAAATCAAAATGACCAGAGTAAAGTAGGGTAGGGTCTCATTAAGTACAATGCAGTACCATTCATAGTTGTCACATTTGGAGACATTATAGTGAAATTCAGTTCGTATAATGAATAAAACTTAAAAATGACTGCGGAAATTAGGAAATGCTGCATGATTAGCAACATTTATAAACAATTAAAGCTCGTATTGGTAAGAAGCGAATGTACCTTGACTGATCAGTGGACAGTAACCAAATTCATATTATCTGGTCCCAAATACTGACGATTTCTGTCGACTATTTTGAAATGTACATCTCTGTGGCAATAAAAACCAGATAAGAGATTGTTTCTTAACTTTTGTGACCATAAAGTTTAGTATCCATCTGAACTTACCAGCCAAGCTAAACTTTACACAGTTCAAACCATTATTTTATAAATTCACAAATTACCGCTTTGAAAGTCTGCAGTCAACTCACATTTTTTAAACAATAGCACTATTGTATAATTGCTTTTATTATACTGTTGTTGATTGGACCCGGTGGGAACAACCACTCATTGGGAGGCAGGTACATCCAGCTGACGGGTCCCAAATAGAATGAAATGCTCATTCTGTATTCCGCTACTAGCCATTATCCATCATTACTAGTACTATTGGACAGAAACTTGACAAAAGATGCAGTCATTTAAGGTCTCGAAATAAGGACGTAAGTTAGTTGTTATCAAATAGCTGTGACTGTGTGGTCAGATGCAGTATATGATTATCAAGCTTAGGTGCTTTTGGAAGTCGAATTTTTAATGAATGAATGTTTTGACTTTTTCTATAATTTATAAAGTATATTAGAAGGTTTACTGTATTGATTTCCAGACAACACTTCGCTTTGAACAAAAAATGAAACCAATTTTACAAGACAAGAAGTTATAATTCTAAATAACGTTGATGGAATTTATTTGATTTCACCTCATTACTTCAGTTCATTAAACAAAGATAAGCGCATTAGCTTCATGTGACCTAAAAAAACAAATAAATGATCACTTTAAGAGGAATCAGACATTTATAAATTTAAAGTTTTAGAATGACAGTTTATGTTTTCGAGATTAAAAGAACATTAGTATTAAAGTTTGGATTAAGGATTCACATTAATTTTCAGTACAGATTGTACCACTGAAATGTAGACAATTCTAGATATTTATCTAACGATACTTTGGAATTAGGGATCTGACAATCCCAATGCAATGCTACCAGTGAGCATGTGTTCTCACTTTCAGTTCGCTAACTCATTTAGGGTTATCTAGGTCAGGAGTGAGGATGAATGTCCACCCATGACACCGGATGACCGTCATTCTTTATCATGATACGATGAAAGTTGGAAAGATGTAATTATTATGAAACAAAACTCAGTTGCCCAATGGTAACACGGTTTTCACAGTATCTAGTGGTAACTCGTTCGGTCACTTGTAAAGTCATAGCTACACACGGAATAACAGTCTCAAAGTAGGCCAAAAGTATCTTCTACTGTTTTCTGATTCCTAGTGGTTATCAACCACTTACATCCAAATTAACCAACAGACCAAGAAAATTTAATCAGAAAAGTTACATTTATAATAACTAGCAGATATGGGTAATAATATTTTTCTTATCACTTTGTTAATTTTTGTT